TGCCATGGCACAATTATTGTTGAGAGCAACCTTTGCAAGTTATCTCTCAAGTTCTTAGGATTTTTGATCCTACTAGTATGTTCCCTTCTGGACATAGAGAGAGGGTGGTACTGTGGGAGGCCAACCTTACCGGTGACTGAGTTACACTTTCCAGCTGGGTACTAAGGCGCTCAGTCACAGAAATGGGTGTGTCTTGCTACAGCCCCATGGGTGAAGCTATGCTCACCTCTTCCTTTGTAATATAACCCCTTGCCCTGTTTAGGATAGAATCTTCCATGGAAGTGCCTTGTGCGTGTCCCCTCCTCTTACTGTGCCCTTGGGTGTGGCCTACCCAGGTGTCAGTCAACCTGCTGACAGTGGACATCATGAAGATAGACTCAGCCCCTGAAACCTGACCCCTTGCCTCATTTGAATAGCTTCTCCTCAATAAAAGGGGTCAGCGGTGCTCTCGCTCTCTCTCTTTCTGTGGACCCTTAAGGTCAGAGGAGCCGTCACAGCAACCCCAAAGAAAAAGGTATTTGTGTCTCTTGTGTGGTTATTTCGTGCAGCCCAGTTAGCCCAGTTTAAATAGAGTGACCCCTGAGCCTTTTAGTCTCGAGAACAGAAACCTGGCATGGTACTATTTTTCTAGTCCTTTCCATGCCTTCCACAAAGCCAGAGGTTCGCATCTTCTACTCTTCTCTCAGAATATTTATCCCGTTGGCAATTTCTTTTTCTGAGCCACCCCTTTGAGACCGAAGACTTGTGAATCTCTGTCTGAAACCCTGACTGGTTTGTGTGGGGACAGTCTTTCTTTCCATCAATGGATGTAGCTTTCCATGGAACGACTGGCCTCCTAGATCCCCCTGCAAGAGCTCCCCACTGTCCACTTTAGTCCCATCCCTGCTCTGACTGCTCTCTATAAAACGTCTTCAAGATTACTTTTCCCAGTGGTCACCCCGCATTTCTGGACTCATCCTCACACCTCTTTGCCTTGTTGAGTTAGCTGACACGTTCTGCCAGTTCCTCTGCCAGTTCCTCCGCCGCATGGACCAGCTCTTCTCGCAGCTGTCGCCTGCAGTTCAAACCCTATTTGTGTATTAGTTTGGAATCTTAATGGACCTGTCTTCCTGGCTGCTTACTTGTCACCTACTTTATCACTTTTTAAACTTAATCTTCTTAAAAAATTAGACTCTGTTTGTCTGTGGCAATCCCCCAGTCAAGAACCCTGCCTCCCATCCTGGTGGCCACAGCCGCATTCTTGATTGGCCATCTGGAACCCTGGCTCTTATGCATGTGTCACAGGCTCTGCTTTTCAGTAATTCCTGTTCTGCCTTTTGCTGTAGACCTTCAGGGCTTTGGGAGTGGGATAATAAATCCTCACACAGTGTCTGGGGAGGCCCTGCAAGGTCAAATTCAGATTTAACCTGGAGTTCAAAGCCCCTTGCAACTGTCGCCATCTATTTTATTAGATCCATACTGAAGGCACATTGTCTTGCTGGCCATAGCAAACAAACATCAGAACAATCTGTCATGGTTTTATCGTGAATGGTTAGGGATTTATTTTTACCTTGAAATAAGAACTATGAATAACTTGTTTTAAGGAAATATGTTTTCCCTTAAAATAATAACTCATTTATGTTCAAGGGCTTCTTAAAATGTGAAGGTGATGCACACCTTGCTCTGCAAACAGTAGGCATAAGTGATTTTTGAAAGCTTTTGAGAATGGAAGTAGTTAACAGATTTAGCTCAGATTATTTATACAAGAGTTTCTCCCTACCAAATAAAGAATACCTTCTAGAATCTTGGGTGAGTCTTGTACTTTTTAAGTGTGCCTGGCACCTCTGCAAGAGGGTGAAATATTGGCCCTGCCTATCGTGGGCTTCCAGTTTGCTTTGGGTTGTTCACCTGGGACCTCAGGAAGCCTCCCTGTCACTGACATGTGGGTTACATGGAAAGGGAATTTTCCCGCGTTCCCTGTTGTGTTGGAGGAATTCCAAGATCTCGAGCATCCACTGTAAGATGACCAGATTAATGCTGTGAGAGGTTAGGTGAGAAACAAGTACTTGGGTGACAGGACCAGCATGGCCACAGTTGTGTTCTGCTGAATTTTCAGGAAAATCTCAAGTATATTGCAGAGGTCCTGAAAATCTCTGTTTGCAAAGTTGAATCACAGAAGCAGTAGTGGCCTTGGCAACTCTGATGGAAAAACAGTAACTCAGAGCAGCTGAGTGTTCATTTGGGGGTAGGAATTGTGGGGTGAGCTAACACTTGTTTGGATGTAGACATTTGAGTGTTAGTAAAGAATTGACTTAATTTTCCTTTCATAAAAAACTTAGTTTTCACAAATGTAACTTTAGGGAAAATGTCAGAAAAGTATCTTTTATTGAAACTTTGTTTTAGTACTGATACAGAAGACACAGTCACAGGTTACATTGTACTTCTGCTGGGAGCCAGGGCTATAGGAACCGGGGGCCCTTTTTACAGCAGGTCCCCAAGGGAAGTGCTGGTATTCTGCCCACCCCCATGGCTTCGGCTTCGTGTTGATTTCAGCATCTTATCTCTTGGCAGTTAGTCTTGAAAATAAGGAAAGGGAATTAACTTCTTAATTCATGGGTGTTTTGATGGGGTGGATTTACCTCATCTGGGAAAATGGACAGTAATTCTTTTGTTCTTCATGCCATGGGGAGGAATGTCCTACTGTTAGGGAGAGGTAAGATGATATATTTTAATTTCTTTAGAGAAGCTGTGTGTGTGTGTGTATTTATATAAAATTTGCGGGGGGAGGGGGTACTGGGGATTGACCTCAGGGGCACTCAGCCACTGAGCCACATCCCCAGCCCTAGTTTGTATTTAGAGACAGGGTCTCACTGAGTTCTTAGCGCCTCACTTTTGCTGAGGCTGGCTTTGAACTCTGATCCTCTTGCCTCAGCCTCCTGAGCTGCTGGGATTACAGGCATACACCACTGCACCAGCTGAAGCTGGGTATTTTTAATTAGGGGGTTAGAGAGAATTACTGTAGAAATCCTAAACAAAGCCCAAAATTTATGAAGTAATGAATTCTTTGTTCAGTGCAATATGACATAGGTGTACAAATTTAATCAGAAGGATGAGGACATATTTAATAGCTGTTTATAATATCAATCAGATAAATGATAAATAATTAGCAATTGAGTACATTTTGTTGTAAGCTTAGTTCTTTTATTAATGATGCTGGGAACAGTATTCTGTCTTATTTATTTATTTTTTTGTGGTGTTGGGGATTGAATCTGGGGCCTCAAGCATGCTAGACAAGTGCTTTACTACCTATATCAGGAGCAGTAATTTAAAACAAATTTCTCTCTAATTCCTCCACTCCACCCCACCCCCCAGGAAAGGAGGAGATTTCTGGTGGGGAAAATGCAGATTCATGGTGCTTTCCTAGCATATCAGCTTGTCTCTTATTTGACATTGTAATATGGTATGATTGAATTGCTCAAGGCCCGTTGGAGTCAGAGGGCTGTTGATCTCTGAGCTCTATAACTTACATATTTTAAATTGAGCTTTAATCATCCCCCCCCGCCCCCGTGGGTACTATAGCTGAAAAGCCCCTGAGAACAGTAGACCCTCCATTTTTCCAGTTTGCTGCATGTTTGAAAAAAATTCTCCCAGCTGGAGCGAACCCTCTAAGCCTCACTTTCTTACTTTAATTTTGCCACTTTCTACTCTGTGGGTTCAGGGAATCAGGTCCTGGGACAGTTGGCTTGGTGTTCTGGGTCTCATTGATGAAATGATGTTGAAATGGGAAAAATTAGTTGTTTGTGAACATCCCATTCCTGTGTCTCTTCATTTTTATTTTTACTTATTGATTTTTTTTTTTTTTTTTTTTTTTGTAGTACTGGGGATTGAACTGAGGGGCACTGTACTAGGGAGTGACTTCCCCAGTCCTTTAAAAAATTAAAAATTTTCAGATAGTGTCTTGCTGAATTGCCCAGGCTGGTCTCTGACGTGGCCATCCTCTTGCTTCAGCCTTCCGAGTTGCTGGGATTGCAGGCATGTTCTTCACAGGCTTCTGTAGGAAGAGCAACTCCTCGTGCTGATCTCTGTGTTACCACTGTCTTTGGCCTTGGTGGAATCATTCTGGGGGATGAGAGACAGCAGCCATTTCAAGCAGGATCCACACCCTCCGATTCAGCATTTGCCTAGTCTTTGCTGTCATCTCAGTCTTTCTGTTTCTCTTTCACTGCACAGTGCTCTCCTTAAAAGGATAAACATTTTAGGTTTGATCTCTCACTCTAACTTGATAACAAAGGCTACATTTTCAAAGGAAAATGAGGCTGTATATTTTTGTGTCCGACTACATGATTACCCCTATGGAATTATATTAATTTGGAAAGGAAAACGAATGACTTCATTTAGCAAACTCTGGGCAGACTGAATATTTGTGATTTTTGCTTAGTTTAAGAAGTGGGCACCACAGGTTTTCAAAGTCATTTCCAGAGTTTATAGGTTGTAATCTGGTGATTCCACTTTTTAAAAAAAATATACTTATTTTATAGTTGGACACAGTACTTTTATTTCACTCATTTATTTTTCATGTGGTGCTGAACCCAGGGTCTCATGCGTGTGAGATGAGCGCTCTGCCGCCGAGCCACAACCCCAGCCCCTCCACCCTTTGGGTAAGAATTATGAATGATGGTTTTCTGTGACAATACATTAATAGTGTTTGTAAATTGATCAAATCATTTTGAGAACTTAACATGGTCCAGTCATTTTAAGTTTTCTAGACATTTCTGGATTGCAAGAATCTTTTGGTCAGGATAAGGTCAAGTCGGTGTTAGACACTAAATTCACTCTGCTGGACCCTTCATAGTGTCTGTATTTGCTGCAATTATATTTATTTGCCATAAGAACTACTTTATGTAGTGATTAATTTCAGAATATTTTTCTTATATTTACCCTAAACTTTCTGAGACTTCTTTCACAAAATATCATTTTAAAACCGTTTTCTTGAATCTAGTCCATGTTTTCATTGCATTTTTTTCTCTTTTAAATTCAAGACAATTGTACAACTTCTCTTACTTGTTTCTGTTTTACTTGTTTCTTTGTCCATGACCTTTATAAGTCTTAAAAGTTAAATACGGTCTTCGATTCTTGATGTTACAGTGTGGAATTTTTTTGTGCCTAAAAATAATTATACAAAATTAGTATCAGTGACTTCTAAGTGGCATTGCAAAGTTAATTACAGTATTTTCCAAATAGCCACAAAAGATCTAAACCTATCCTAAAGAATAATTGTAAAATCAGCAATTTAGAGATGACTGTGTATATCAAATAAAATGTTATTAAGTATTTTTTCAATTCTCTCTTTCCTCCAGACTTAAACTATTCTTAAAAAATCTGCTTTTTTGTTTGTTTGGGTTTTTTTGCCTTTCATATAACTTTGTAGATTTTACAAGTCTGCAAAGGTACACGGACACAGTTTAGCTGGTGTTGTGTGATTCATAGTGCCAGCTGGTTTCTGCTTTATTCAGAGGTTTGGTGAGGGGGATAGGACTTGAGTTGCAGGGTTGTTCAGACCCAGGGATATGAGAGTCCCACCTTTCTCTAGACTTTCTGGTCTCTGGACCTCCATATCAGATAGCCCAGCTAAACGGTTGTTCATATTGCCTTGACACTTTCGCGGCCAGTGTTTGAATAAAGTCCGAAATTATTTTATTGTTGCTGTGTTAATACTGATAATTTATAATCAAATCATCTTTATGATAGTAATAGATTAAATATTGGAAAGGACGATTCTAGAATTTGAAAGCAATTTCTCAAAAAGTTCGGTATATACTCAGTATTAAAACTTTAGATATGTAAAAAAGAGATCAAACTTATCTTTTTTAAGAGTGTATGCTGTTTGGGGCTAGGGTTGGAGCTCAGTGGTAGAGTGCTTGCCTTGTGTGTGTAAGGCCCTGGGTTCAATTCTCAGTACCACATAAAAATAAATAAACATAAAGATATTGTGTCTATCCACAATTAAAAAATATTTTTAAAAAGTGTATGCTGTTAGTATACTATAGTTGGTGATAAAAATTCAAAAGCTCTAAATGTGCATGTCTGTCCAATGTACTTTTTCTGCTGCTTCCAGGACTGATTAATATTAACAAGGGGGACCAGGAGGACTACATAAGACATAATCAGAAATGCTCTAGAAGTATTCAAGAATGTTTGATCAGGCGTGGAAATCCATGTGAGAAACTATGTCATAAGCCATGGTCAGAGAAATTCTGGAGTTTTTAAGATTTTTAGTATCTACCATTAGAAGACCTGAGATACTTAATTTCTTTTTTTTTTTTTTTTCCTTTTGATTATGCTGGGCATGGAACCTCGGGCCTGGCACATGACAGGCAGATGCTTTACCACTGATCTGCATTTCCGGCCCAGCATTTAATTCTTTAGCAATGAAGAAAGCATTTCATGGGATGTTAAGGTTTCAGTGACAGGTATGGAACAATTCCTCCTTGCCTCTGTACTGACAGGATCCATCATGAAATTTCTCAACTTGGCTGAAATGTTGACCTTGAGATACCATTTGATACTGAAGTGGGTGGGTGAAAACAGTGCTGTGGAGTCAGTACTGAACGTGAGAACCGTGTTGGATTGCCAGGCGCAGTCACAGGGACTTTGAGACCGCTGGAGGAATCTTAAGGAAGTTTCTCTAAAATGGCATTTGGAGTCATGGTTGCCTTAACGTGCGTCCTGGTGCACCACACTGCAGCCAGTTGCCCAGGACTGCAGTTCAGAGGCTCTGTCTGGGAGTGTGCTGGGGGTGCGCGTAGATGTTTGGGATGTGGAAAAGACTGGAGGCATGGTGGGCACGGATTGCGGAGGACAGTGCTAGAGGCCCATGGTGAAAGGCTCAGTCTCACCCAAGTCGTCCATTCTCATGCACAGTGGTCTTCTGTGGAGATGCTCTGCCTGAAGTCTCCATTTCCTTTTATTTACTTACTTAATTTTTTATTTATTATTTTTTGAGATGGGTTTCCAGGCTGGTCAATAAACTTCTGGGCTCAAGTTCCTCCTGCCTTAGCCTCCCCGATAACTGGGGCTACAGGTGTGTGCCACTGTGCCTGGCTTCATTTTTTTTTAACATCCCATGTTTTTAGTATAGTTTAATTCAGAATTTGATTTGAAAGTGCCACTTGAGACGTCAGTATCAGATTTGCAATATTTTTGGCATTGGAAAATACTTTAGATGACCATGTTGTGAGTCACAAGGGAAAGGGAAAAAAACAAGGGTATTACTGGGCATGGTAGCACGTGCCTGGAATCTCAGCTGCTCCAGAAGCTGAGGCAGGATTGTAAGTTTGAGGTCAGTCTCCACAATTTAGTGACACTGTGTCTCAAAATAAAAATTAGAAAGGACTATGGATAAAGCTCAGTGGCAATGATATACATCCCTAACTTTTTTTTTTTTTTTAAAGGCAGTCTCACTAAGTTGCTGAGGTTGGTTTTGAACTTGTGATCCTCTTGGCTTAACCTCCTCAGTTCCAGTTGCTGGGATTATAGGGTTGTGATGCCAAAGCCTGGTCATAGAAGATGATTACACGTGTAATAATCTGAATTATGCTCTAGTTTTTTTAAGTTAGAAAAAAAGTTACCATTCATTGAGATAATAAATCAAAGAGTAAAGTGTTTGAAGTGCTGTACTAGTTATCTGAAATCAGATGTCAGGATATCTTGGTTGGAATAGTGTGTGAGAGCTAGTGACTACAAAGGGTGAGGAGAGGAAAGGAGAGAAGGATTAAATAAGGGGAAATCAAGTGAAAAACAGGTGGAAAGAAGGTAGTGCCCCAGAAAGCAGCAGCTCATCCTCCTGTGCTCTTGGGACAAAAATTGGGTGTCATCCCTGACTTCCTCTCCTTTCATGCCTCACTGTAGCAAAATCGGGGACTCCGTTTTAAAAACATCCAGGATCCAGTTGCTTCTCATGTCTCTTCTACCGCTGGGGCCTAGCAAGCATCCACTCTTGCTTGAACTGGGCAGTGGCCTCTGATATCACCTCCTATGTTGACCCCATCCTTGTGCACGAGCCACACTGCTTCCTTGTCCCTTAGCCTCTGGTCCCTCCCCAGGAACCCTCTCATGAGCACAATGCTCCTTGTCCTGGCTTTGCAGCTCACAGCCCTTTTTAAAATTTTTTTTCTATATATTTTTAGTTGTGGATGGTCATAATACCTTTATTTATTTATATGTGGAGCTGAAGATCAAACCCAGTGCATCATACATGGTAGGCAAACGGTCTACCACTGAGCTACAGCCCCAGCCCCATCACAGCCCTTCTTCCCGGCTGTTAGAGATGACTCCTCAGTCCCTCAGACTGGATGGTTGGACTTGCGGGTGTGCAGACAGAGGCAGATTTTATCCCCTGTCTCCTTCTCCCTTGCTCTTCATTTTTCTCTAAAGTACTTTCCTATCTGATGCTCTTCTTTAGTTTGTGTTTGTTTACTGTCTTCCTTCTGTTCCTCGCTCAAGAACAGTGCTGGACATATATAGGTGCTCAGGGGAGGCAGGAGTTAACAGGTGGGTGAGGATACACTTCTATTTTGTGGGATGAAGTATTGCCCAATTCTAGGGTGGAAGGTAAAGCCAATTAAAATCTTTAAAGTAAATTGTCACTTTGTCCTTTGACAGTATTCAGTGTCCAGGTTGGCAAGTCTGTAGAGACAGAAAGTAGATTAGTAATTTCCTTGCACTGGGATTCGGGGATCACTGCCATTGGGCACAAGGTTTCTGTTCATACTGATGAAAATGATCTAAAATGGATTGTGGTATTGGTTGCACAGCTGTGAATATAAATCTTCTGGAGTTGTGCATTGAGAGTAACGGAGTTGTATGCTATGTGGCTATCTCAGTGAAGATGCCAAAATACAAAACCTGAACAACAATGAAATAGGGCTGAGGAGCAGGAGCCAGAATTGTGGCCTTCCCAGCTTGCCCCTGCCTGCTTGCACCTGTCTTGTTGGTGAGGTGCTAGCACTCTGGTGAAGATCCTATCCCAGCCTGTCCTTCGAAGGTAGCACAGACCTGCTGGGCCTGGGAGCTTCTTATGTCCTGGTCATGAAGATGGTACTGATGGTGCTGTGAGAAGGAACCATGGTCGAGGGAGGTGGTATAGCTTGGTGGCTCCTGTTGTACATCTCAGGAGAGTATCTGCCTTTGACTGCACATTTTTTTTGCTTCAAAGACAACTTCCTTCGGCTAAAGTTAATAAACCCACCCATAAAAAGCTTAGTGAGAGAACAGGTGCAACTCCTAGAGCCTTTTCACCTGGGGCATAAGGTAATGCACAGTACCTCCTTGAGGAACTGACGGTAGTTGGGGCCATTTGTGGTCTTGGGGGGTCAGGTGAGCATATCTTAAGCATTATGAGCCTTATCACATTTTTACATTCAAGTATACATTTTAACGTGATAATAACAATCTCAGGTCTCATACAATAGGATTGATTATGTTCAACATATGATGTATACCAAGGACATGCTTATTGTGTGTGAGAAAGATGTTTACTATTAAACTTCAAAGGAATGGGCTTCATGAGTTACCTGCAGGGATCTCATGTTTTACTCACTGAGATTATATTGGTTTGGCTAGCACTGCCCTCTAACAAGATGCAGCGTTAGGGAACACATTCCCTATGCCAATTACAAATTATAGTCCATGTGACCAGGCCCTGATTTAAATATGGTGCCTTTGCTTGTGAAAGGTGATCAGGTGAGTGTGGTTCAATAGCTCAAGAGAGGAAGGAAAAAAAAAAATCAGCCATCCTTAATATAGAACTGGGGTAAAGTATAAAATGTCAGAGCACAATTTTCTGTGACAGTGGGTAGGCAGTATATACTTGAGCATGAAGAATATCACTAAATTACATATTCCCTGAGTTATTAACAACTAGAAATAAAGTTACAATGAAAGCAGAGTCTTGGGAGTTGAGGGAGGAAAACAACTTATTTCAAATAAGTGCATGAAGAAATAGAAGAATCACCCTTAATGGTACATGTGACCATTCCAGGAATGTTTAGCATGTCGCAGTGGAAGTCCTACTTCAAGTAGTATGATAACATCCTGTGACTTGGTACGCATTGTAGAAGGGACCGCATGCGTGGATGCTACTCAGAAATGAGTACAGTGGTGCATCAGTTTGCTACAGGCTGTACTATGAGAAATGTGTCATTAGGCAGCTTCAGAGCTGTGTGAACATCATGAGTACACGTGCCCAGCGTGGCCAAGAGCTGTGGTGTCACAATGAAGCACGAGCTTATAGGACTACCCTCATGTGTGTGGTCCTTTGTTGACTGAAATGTCACAAGGAAAGAGTTTGTCTTGATCTTTTGCTGTACTATGAATATGTTGAACACTAAAAATTAAAGGAATAATTGTGCTCTTTCTAGACTTCTTTTATTAAAACATTTGCATCTTCGCATTTTTTTTCCTTTTCCTCAAAAAATATTCCCCATGGCCAGTGTTAGTAAATTCACCTTTCTACCTCAGGGACTTGAAGAACAGAGTGGCATACTGGGGTCTGGTAATGTTCACGTGCAGCTCAGGATTGAAGGCAGAGCATGCTGGCCTGGTATGAGTTAATCCTGGTGCTTTGTGTTTCTGACTACTAACAAAGCAAATTTATTTCTTCTTGGGAGTGATGCAATTCCAAAGCAAAATTTTGATGTCAGTTCTAATGAGTCTGCTTTCGATTGTAGAGTGCAATGATGCCCTAGTAAGGATTAGTGAGAAACCTATTTTGTTGTAGATAATAAATCTGAGAAGTTGTCAGCATAGACTGAAGTGAATCTGGCATGCAGTTGCTTTGTGAATGACCCTGTGAGCAGACTCTGCAGTTCTGAATGTGGTTTTAAATCACTGAATTTGTAGGCAGGTACATATTACAATTGTCTGTTTTTCTTTTTAGGGCTCATGTAATCAAAGAAGTTTCTTTGTTGTGTGTATCTTTACAGAACACAACAGGAATTGAAAATGAATCAGGTGAGTTTAAAAATAAAATTTATACAAATACATGATCTAGATGTCAGACCAGTTCTTTTTAAAAGATAGCCACACACGCATTCATTCCTCCCAGATTTTCACTTTTGTTTCTTAATGCCATTTATTAGTTTGTTGCTTTCACAGTGTGCATTTGTGGAGTGGAATGTGCTGTGTTTGGTGGGGTTGACATTTCTGTGGGTCCCTGAGTAAAGGGCTCATACTTAGGGATTTTATTTTAACTTTTCTTTTTTACTTCTCCCCTGCCACACTCTACTGTGAGGTTTTGTCTTTGTTTTTAAGCTTAATAAACTTTTGTTTTAAACACTTTTTATTTTGCAATTTTCCATTGATTGAAAAGGGAAGAGGGAGTTATTTTTAGAGACTGCCATGGCTCCAGTGTAAACATGAAGTATTTTGTCCTTGAAAGTCCTTTTCATAGAATAAAGAGGACAGATATTGAAAAATAAGATGTGTTTCTTTTTACAGAAGGGTGTGGGATTACCTGGAGATTAAATTATTCTGCTCCAGCTATTTCTATAACCTCAAGGGTGTTCTGATGAGTGGAATCAGTTGTGTGGATTTAATGTATTCTTATTTTCTGGTTTCAATATTATTTCATTTGCAGTTATCGAAATTTATGGGTGTCAGAAACATTTTCTCAGAAATCTTCATAAAAACATTTTTTTTTAATATTCAGGATAAAACCTAAAAATGTGAAGTATGTATTTTTTTTTTTAGTTCTTAACTTAGAACTCTCAGACTTGAAAACATTTTGTATCCTTCAGCTGAAACTTTAGACACTATTTTTATCATTTACAGGTGCTTCTAACTTGAGATCACAAGTCCAATTTCATTAGGTGAGGAAGCTTAATAAATTCAGTCTGTGTTGCATTGAGAGATGTGAAATTTTTGGAATGGATTCTTTTGATATTTTTTTTTTCATTACTTTCTTTATTAGAAATATGTTTATTTTAATTCAGAGGACTATACATCATAAAAAATGAGTCTGGCAAACACATGGGCACATGGTTTCTATTTTTTTAAAAACATGGAGATTTACTGATGTGCTTTTGAAGACAAATTATTTTTGAAATGGTGAGGGCGGGGTGAAGGAATAAAGAACAGTGGATTTTCACAGTTTTCATCCAGCAAAGTGATGTGCGTATGTGTCATAGGTTTCATTTATTTTCTGATTCTTGATGTGAACCTGGTCACTCAGAGGCGCTTGCTCTTCTGCTGCCTCAGGACTTTTGTTAGAGGAGTCTGGATTCTGGTTAGAATGCTCTCCAGTGCTTCCCAGGTGGAGTCTGAGTGTTGGCTTGGTTCTTGTTGCATCCACATTCAGTGCTCATTTGTTTGAGGGGCCTGCAGTTTTAACCTCAGGCTTAACTATGCCTAATTCTTATATCCTGTTGGGCTAGTAGTGTGTTTCGTGTGTGAACTTTTTTTTTTTTTTTTTTTTTTTGACACTTCACACATTTGCTTTAATACTCCATGTATACCAAATGAACTTCCATTTAAAAGAAGACTACCTGCCATTCAAAAGAGTTGCAAGCAATAACCATTTCTCTTTTTGGCTCATTTACAGTTTCATTCTGCTTTTGACAAGTTCTAATGCCAGATCTTTGGAGGGCTGCCTTTGATGTTAAATGCCAGATATCAGTGAAAAAGTGTCCTCTTATGTTTCTAATGGTTAGCACATTTCTGAGTATAATTTAAATGGTCTGGTAGTAATGAAAGTTTTATTTGGTTTATAAAAATTGCTCACTTTCTGTGACTAAAATTTTCAGCATTTTTGCTTAGGTTTCATTATTGAAAAAGTATTAGTTGAATGCTATTTAGACTTGATCCTTATGCTGTAGCATAAAATCTGTTGGTGTTTTCCAGCGATTGTCCCAGTAATTTTAAGAAATTAAGAATTATTCTTGATAGTTTATAGTTTTCACTTGTGTATTTATTCCTTTCATTTTCAGCCAGTGAAAATAATTAATAAATTGCACTAAAATTTACTTCAAAATAACTCCACACAAAAAATTCAGATATAAAAAAATGTGAACTTGAGCAAGATTAACTTTCACTTGAAATCCTGATGATTATTTTGAGGTAGGAGTAGTCTTTCTTGGAACTGATGGGCATTGCTTTGAGCTGTCAGACCTGTCTGATGAAGGGCATGCTGTCTAAGAGAATAGCACAGAACTGTTTATTTCATGTGTCCCTGCCAGTTGAGGACAGGGACTGAAGGGTCCTGGGCCCTGCACACCATATTGCTAGCAAATGATTATTTTAGAAAAAAAATAGAGTCCAGCGCCTGTCAGTATTGTTGGCATTGACCATTGAGAGGCAGCCAACAATCCTGTCCCACCAGGTCGTGCCTTGCCAGGTTCTCCCTTTAAGGCCAGCTATGGGGTTCTGCCAGGCCCTGGAGTACATATTCTTTGTCTTTCTTCCTCTGCCCTTTGTTCCTACTCAGTACTTACTCCTCTCTTCATCTCTAATCCTCTCCACATAGAATTCCAGCTTGCTCTGCGTGCAGTAATGGCAGGTGGAGTAGCAATCACTGACCTCTCCACCCCCATTTCTCATCTTCTCTATTTTCAAATCCTTCCTATTTTTTTCTTCTTTCATTAACATGCTACATCCATCCTGGTACAGATTTTTCTCCACTCACTCTGTGGTTACGTCCCGATAAACCCATCATAAAGTCAAAAAATGGTAAGTCAATCCATAATGTGTTGGGTTTCATCTATATTTAACTTTTAAGGTCTTCTAGTCTTTCCTTAGACTTATTTAATGTTGTAATGCAAGTAGGCTCATAGCAGCTTAGAGTAGATATGGTAGAGTTTAATACCATTTGCTCTCTATTGAGGTTGCTTAACAAACTGGACAGGCACTCTATTAAGCATAGTATGTACATTCTCATATTAATTTAGTCTTTGTAGCCACTCAATGAAGCATAGATATTAATTTTGTGGATGAAAATATTAAGGCCCAAACAGGTGGCTGTAGCTTGCCTGTGGTCATTTAAATGGTAAGTGAAAGAGCTCTTATAATGAACAGCTCCTCAGATTCCATAGTTCAGGTTCTTGGTCACTGTGCTGTACTGCTGCAGTAGGGTAAATTATGTTATGCTGAGGGAGCAAGCAACTTGAAATTTTTGGTGCCACAAACCCATTGTGGTCTGGTTTGGGGCTCTGCTGTTGTAGTCAGGAACCAAGGGTGATGGAAGTTTGTCTCCTTACACAGCACCCTGTTGTGCACTCATTGGTATAGTCATGCTGGCATCTCTAACCTAGCACTTGGATCAGGGGAGCAGTGTAGTGCAATTGGGTGCCTTGTAGCAGAGGAGAACTGTGACATTTAAAAACAACCATGATGATTTTACTGCAAGTACTTTTACTACTAATTCACTGAATTACACTTAGATTTTTTTTTCAAGAGTCTTTGCACAGTGCAAATTGTTATTAGTGTGTCAGTTTAGTGGTTTATGATTACATTATCTCTACATCCTGATTAGTAATCTGTTACTGCTGTTTACCAGTAGCAAAGCAATTTAGCTTTCTAAGCTTGTTTCAAAGATTAGTAAAATAACTAAAGGAGCTTTTAATCACTCAGTGTGACAAATTCAACCCTGAGAGTTGGGATGAGCCACCCATAGTTCCATTATCTCAACCATCTTGAATGTCCCTCCACCTCTCACTCCCTGGCCTGGTACAGTCCCTATCCCAGATGTGGTGGATGCCGCAGAGAGCTAGGTGGCAAAGCAGTGCAGCCTGTGAGCTCACAGAGGGACAGGGACTGCAGCCAGGCAATTTCCAGTACTGCAAAGTGCTGTGGTGGAGAATGGTAGGTCAGGATGGGGGAGGTTCTCTGGATTACACAGAGAAGGCTGTCCTAAGGAGATAACAGATAGTAGAACCAAGACTTAGGTGATAACCATAAACTAGCTAGATATGCGAAGATCTGGAGAAAGAAAATTCTAGGCAGAGTAAATGCACAGTAAATACAGGGGTCCTGAGGTGGGAATGAGTTTGGCTCAAGGAACAGAGGGCAAGCCAGGGGGTGGAGCTTGGCCATACTTGGAGCTCCATCTGACTCTGGGACAAGATGACATTGGTGAGAGGTGAGGGCCAGATTTATAGGACTTTAGGGCCATGGGAAGGCATTTATATTTATTATAAGTACAGTTAGAAGCTCTGGATAGTGACATAATCTGATTTCCATTTTTAGAATATCACTTTTACTGTGCCTTGGAGACTGGGTTGGGAGGGGGTAAGGACCTGGTAATATGCTTTCTCATTATTGAGATTAACACCATATTTGACAGCTTCTTCGGTTGGAGAACTTAATGAGCTGCCAGCTTTTGAAAAGAAGGTATATTTTTGTGTTTGAGAACTAGTTGCTGTTCTTTCAAAGATGGTATAAATGACTTTCTTTTCTGTGTCCATCTGCTTATTGTTATTGCAGTTAGATTCATTCCTTAACCAAAGGCAGTTTAATGCTATTTCAGTAAAGTGAAGCTTATTGGATTTTTTCCCCCTATTGTTTCCCCCTATTGTTTAGTAGCTTAGAATCTTGATTGTAAGTCTAAAAAAAGAAGAGTTGTCCAGAGAGTTCTGGAATATTTTAATACCCTATGATTCTTGGATGTTCTTTGCTTATAGTAATTGCTATGGGATTCTTCTTAGCCTATTGTAGGAGCAGCCTCTTAACTTTGCATGAAGATAACTACAACATGTTCTTAATATTAAACGTTATTGAGTCTAACGTCCCCATCAGCCACTGCTTTTACTCTTCAGTGTTTTGTTCTGAAAGGTCTGTAACAAGCTAGATGCTTTAATTAAATAGTTAAAGGAGATATAATCATATCCTGTCACTATCTGGGTGAATTGTGTTAAGTGGAATATGAATAAAATGTGCTTATTCTTGCATTTTTTAAAAACCAAAAACATGAGTATGTGTTGTCCAGGTGAGGTGGTATATGCAGCCTGTGTAACAGCAGG